GCCCATCTTGCAGCCTGCGAAATCACCACCTGAGTATCCCACAAGATCAAACCCTGATTCTTTGGGTTACCAAAGGCCCAGATTGATTGTTCCTTTGAGATATCTCAATATCATTTTTACAGCAATCAGATGCGATTCCTTTAGATTTGCTTGAAAGCGAGTGCACAGGCAGGTTGCAAACACATTGTCCATCTGCTAGATGTGAGGTATGACAAGGATCCAATGATAGCCCGATAATTGGTTGCATCGACTGATTTCCCGAAAGGGTCTGAGTCGAGCTTGTGTGAGGGAGACATGTGGGTTTTCATCGTTGACTTGTTGTCCACTTTGTATCTTTTGAGCATGTCGAGATGTACTTTGACTTATTGATAAAGATTCCATCCGACATTTGTCTGATTTGAAGCCCCAGAAAGAAGTTCAACTCACCCATCATACTCATCTCGAACTTGGTGCACATCAGATTGTTGAACTTTTTTGCAGAAATTTGGATTTGACGAAGCAAAGATGATGTCGTCCACATAATTTGTATCAACATGATGTCACCTTTATGACATTTCATGAAGAGAGATGGATCTATATTTCCCTTCGAGAAGCCTGATTCAGCAAGGAAATCTGATAGTGCTTCGTACCAAGCTCTCAGTGCCTGTTTCAGTCTGTACAAGGCTTTTCTCAGCTTATAAACATTATTAAGGCGTTCACGATCAACAAACTCACCTAGTTGTGAAACATAGACCTCTTCTTTCAGGTCTCCATTCAGGAATGCAGTCTTAACATCCATCTGATACACGATGAAGCTTTTATGAGCAACATAAATAAGAAACAGTCTGATGCCCTCTATTCTCGCCACTGGTGCAAAAGTTTCATCGTAGTCGATTCCTTCTTGTTGATTGTATCCTTTTGCAACTAGGCGTGCCTCGTTTCTAATGATGACACCGTCTTCATCTTTTTTATTCTTGAAAACCCATTTGGTGCCTAGGATGGTTTTTCTGTAAGGCCTTGGCACTAGGGTCCATACCTTTAATCTGTCGAATTGGTTCATTTCTTCATGCATTGCAATAATCTAGTCTGTATCAGCTCGTGTTTCTACCATCTTTATTGGTTCTTTCTGACTCAGAAAAATGAAAATAAGCACTCGTTGGCTGACACAGTTCTGATGTTGACTCCTTTGGATGGATCTCCAATAATTAGTTCAGGCGGATGTGCTCTCATCCATTAATTAATCGGGTCATCAATTGGGCATTTGAGTCAACCATGGTAAACGGTCAGGGTTCTCGAGTCCCAACCCGTGTGGCAATCTCAAGGGACAAACATCATGGGTGCCAATCGGGTGACAAACTCAGGCTAAGATCACGGGTGATCATCTCGAGCAACGATGACGAGTAACGATCGCAAGCCCCGACCACGGGTGACGATCGCGGTTGAAGATCACAGTGGGAAATCACATGTGCCATTCTCTAAAGAGGATCATGAGTGCCATCCTCAAAAGAGGATCACGGGTGCCATCCACAAAGAGGATCACATGTGTGATCCTTGGAACAAGATCACGGGTGTGATCTTTGGAAGAAGATCAAGGGTGTAATCCTTGGAACAAGATCACAGGTGTGATCCTTGGAACAAGATCATGGGTATGATCTTTGGAAGAAGATTATGGGTGTGACCTTTGGAACAAGATCTCGAGTGGCAAATCTCGAGCCAGGATTGCGGGTGGCAAATCGTGAGTCAAGATCGCGGGTTTGCAAATTTGTTCACTATTGCATCCATAACTTCTTGATGGATGATTAAAATCTTTCGACTAGAGAAGACTTGGATGCGTCTCGTTGAGTTCTACAACTCTTAAGGATACACCAACGCCAAATTTCCAACAGAAAGAGAGTTACCCTTCTTACACACAACAAGTTTGCAAATCTACTCCAGTTTTGCCAAAATTATCGATCTTACTAAATGGATCATAACTCTCAATTGGCTACACCAAAATGAGAAATTTCAGATACATCTGATTCTTTTCAAGCATATCTACAACTCTTAATAAGGAATCATATTGAAACAATAAACAAAGAAAAAGATATTGCTCATACACAAAACATGTTTGCGACATGGGTGTTTACAAGTTAACTTGAAATTTCTAACACACAAGCTTTACGGGACTTGTCTCCTTCGTTCTGCATCCAAACCAGACGTTGAGACCATCATATATCTATATGAATACATTAACAACATTCTTATCACAAAAAACATTGTTCATTCGAATAGATGGGTAATCGAATAAGAGACTCAGAAGTTATTTGGCATAAAATTGTCATCTCACCTGGAAAACAGCGTGATTGCACAGGTCCTATTGGTTGTGATTTCTCTTCTCCAAGCTTTAGCTCCTTCAAAAATGGCTTCATCTTTCTTGAATTTAAGGAAAACAGTGGAGAGGGGATTTGAGAAAGTTATGTAAGGTTTTTGTGTTTGTCGTAGGTATGCTAGGTAATAGGTTTACCTTTTAGACTTTAATTGGCTTATTAAACGGGCCTTGGGCCCCTAGTCTCCTTTATTTGCTCAACCTTCAATTTTACATCTATGTAATTCAAAGGTTTTTTCCTTAACCCAAAATAAATTAATTCCACCGACTTGAATTATTATTCTGTCCCAGATGAATTTAATATGCGCCCCAGGAATACGCTAAGTGGTCCTTCCCCCTGTGTGGGCTCCAAAAATTAATTTAATGATTGTTAAAATTAACAACTAGAATAAAATTAACGAACTTATTCATAATTGGTCGAAATTTTAATTTGCGAACAATTTATAATCAGGGGGCGGTGTCACAGCTTTGCAGCAGGGGAGGCCGATGATTCAATAGGAGTTTGGAACATGAAATTCATAAAGGTAGTACATCATGGATTGGCCGCAATCTTCTGAAGAGGTGGGGATAATCCGTTTGAAAGTGAAAGAAGGCGGTAATTAAGAGGGAGGGAACCAAGTTGAACTTCTTTTGATAGAATCTTTGAACGGCAAATTGAAAGCAGAAGTAGTGTTAATGGGGACAGGTAAAGGTGGGGAAGAGATGAAGGTTTTCAAATTTTTATATAATTTAATTTGTTTTAATTTTTCTTTTGGTGTCCAGTACTTTGGTTTCATCTTCCTTTTGACATTAGGGACATGTGGGCTTCTTTCTAGTACGTGTCTCTCTTACAATGAGAGGAAGTAATCAAGCTAGTCTAGCCGATAATCATTTCGAATCTCTCGCATTTCAACGATTAGTCTTTCTCAATTTTGGGTAGGGATGGACTCGGGCCGGGTGGCCCGACCCGGAACTGGCCCGGGACCGGCACTGTTCCGGCCCGGCCCGACCCGGTGGCCCGGTCAGTGACCGGTCCGGGTAGGCCCGGCCCGTGGGTTTTCCGGTCCGGGCTCGGGTCACCCAAAACAAGGCCCGACCCGGCTGGGTCCGGGCCCAGTTCGGGCCAATTTTTTTTTTTTTTCAATTTTTTTTAACTTTTCGGGTTGGGCTGGGTATTTTGGGCCATTTGGGGTGGTTTGGGGGGTTGGGGGTGGGAGGGGGGTTAATTAGGAAGAGGAAAAAATATATATATATATAATGGGTTTGGCCCGGCCCGGCCCGGACCCGGTGGTTACCCGGGCCGGTCCCGGGTCCACCATTTCTGACCCGCCGGCCCGCCCCGGACCCGGCCCGGACCCGAGTCCAACCCTAATTTTGGGAGTGAGATGATCCATTGGCTATAAGAAATTTAGAGGGGACGTTTGGGTAGGTGGAAAGTTTGATGTTTGTTTGTTCATTTCTATGAGTTTAATAAGTGTTTCTCCTTGCACAAAAACAGAAGAAATTAGGTGCAAAAGTGAGATTATTATGATATTATGTAAAAGTTGGATTATTTTGAGAAATTGGTAAAATGCAGGATCATTATTGTCAAATTTTCCAATTTATTATACCTCTATTTTAAATGTAATACTTCTTTGTTTGGTGTTTGGCTCCACATATTTGAACTTCCGGAGAACTACTTAATTTGTTTCTACGAAATTTTTCAAAATCAATTGATATTTTACAAATTATTGAATTGAACTATTAAAGTACAACATGGTGTTCACATCCACTTACATTTTGTTTACACATTTCAGAACCATATCACCATATGATTTGATACAATCATACAACTAATGTCTTGCTATAAACATTCTCATGTTTGTCCTAGATATGGCCGAATCGGACCATTATGATACCAAACCAAAAAAAACAGGATTTCAAACATATCCTTCGAAATTATATCCAAAGTCCAAACCACTACATGATCGATCTTCACTAAATGAGAATCAGGACCGGACTGAAGTATACTTAATACATTTTCTCTAAGTTCATTATACCAGTATACTTTTTTCTTAGCTAGTTTTCTGTTCGTTGCTAGTTTATAAAAGTAGTCTAAGTCTGTAATCACCAGAATACACGTTTATTTCCATGATTGATTAAAAGCAAGAGCTCAATGACAAAAAAAATATCGTACCCCCACGCAATTCTTGTAAAAGGCTACCATGATCAAATGGAGCGTGAGGTACTGATGTCAAACGTTTACTTCTCCATACTAATGTTATTAAGAACGTAAAAATTAAAGAACTATATTAACTTTGATTTTTATATTACACTATAGAGAATAGTATGCTAATTTTATTGACACGTTCTAAAATCAATTATTGAGATATACGAAGTATGAAGTATATACTCCGTAGTTTTACCATTTCTTTCAAGTGCACTTTAATTAATTTCCAGTGTACTATTTTAATACTTCAACAAGCATCTTTATTGTCTTTAATGTTATTTTATATTGTAAACTTATTGCCGAAAAAAAATGAAACTGGACTGCAGAGAACCAACTCAGAACTGCACCAGTAACCGGTGCATGTGGTCATGGTTCTAGGGCGTGACTGTGAGGACTCGCTCTTGTACGCCCCTCTATTACTACACTTTCTGACTAGTACGGGTGATGAAGACTGACCCAACACATCAATGGATCTTTTGTTATTTTTCCTTTGTAAGAACTAAAATACTGCAAGTTAAATTGATGAAATTGCAACTTCTAAGTCAGTATGGGCAACATTTGCTTTGAAAAATATTACAAATTTTTTATAAGACCTCGCATTCCTCCATGAACCACCACAATTGATAGTCTCTAAAGAATCCATACCTCATAATTTAAGCAAACAGCCTGCATATCCATGGACCCAAAATTACTTACTTATTTTGGGAGCCAAAATTGGTTAAATGAAATCATGGAGATGCAACAGCAGCAGCAGCTTGTTGTTTAGCAGACTCATAGCTCTGGTCTTTTGGGATGTCAAGACCCTTAAACACCGGGCTGTCAACTCCAACTCCCATAGCATTTAGGCCGTTATCGACATACACAACTGACCCCGTTATGGCTGAAGACAAAGGTGATGCCAGAAAAGCAGCTACATTCCCAACCTCCTCTGCAACATTTATACACGCATCATGTTGATTTGTAAACAATTAAGAAGCAAAAATGACAATTTTTGTTGGGACGTCGCTCACCTGCAGACAACTCCTTTTGCAAGGGAGCATTCTCGGATGAGTAATCAATCATCATATCGATAAAACCAATAGCTTTTGCAGCACGACTCCTCAGTGGACCTAACACAGCAGAACAATTGTTCTAAAAAGGCGGACTGGGTGATGGGCGTGCGGTTAATTCAAAATATTAGCGACAAGACAACCCTAATGCCTATGAGACACAGTCTCGGCAGGAGTTTTAGGAATTGAAAAGCAGAGTATGAAATATTGAAGTGTGGAAGCTGCTGCGTTTGGAACTCAAAGGATGGTAAGGGAGATAGATCAAGAAAATGGTATATTTTCGTTGGGTCTTAGCTAGAAAAATACGGAGGAAAATGAAATGTAGTTAATCTGTTCGTGATTTAACATAAGCTTGGGTTTCTTAGTCTATACATAGATTAAACTTTTTACATAGAATTAATCATTTCATTTTCATTTACCCCAGTGCCGCAAAGGCTCCCACCTAAGGTGGGGTAAGGGGGGGTCGGATGTACGCAGTCTTACCCTTGTACTAAAGCATAGAGAGACTATTTCCGGATGACCCATAGTGAAAATCGCGTCCAAAATTGCATGGTCCGACTGCTGCTTCATAACAAAGAAGCGCAGACAGTTTATTTACTTCCGAATTTTACATAGAATTAATATCTTAAATTAATATATCTTGTGTAAGGATTTCATTTTTTCTTTGACAATTTATTTACTTCCAAATTTCATCTATACTTTCCTCTCTATTTCCCCCCTAACATTTTCTGAGTTGTAAATGGGACCTTTACGTTCTACACGGCTGGTAAGTACAAACCATAATAGTAGTATTGGACCCTAATCCTCATTCATCATATCTTCATTCTTCAAGGTTTAACATTTAAAGATTTAATCACCTAATAAATTTACCAACTAGTATCAAATGAATGTTACTAGTTGCTGGGAGCCTTTGCGGCACTGGGGTAATGTTGTTGTTGTATCCAATGAATGTTACAAGTTACAACTATTGGATATATAGGACAGCTCTATCTACATGTGAATGGATAACTGGGTCATACCTGCAGAAATTGTGTTGACTCTGACCTTATGCTTCCTTCCGGCTTCGAAAGCCAATACCTTTACGATTTCAACCATCCCCACATCAGCAACACCATATGGCAAATTTGAACTTCATTAAAAAAAGGTGAAAAAAGGGTCAGAAATAACTTACTCTTGTGTCACTCTCTAAAGCAGCTTTTGCTGAGCTCATCCCACCACCATATCTGCAGCATTTACAGAACAATACATTAAGTACAGATAAATTGAAAATTATTTAAGCAATTTAAAAAGAAAAAGAAAACATTCCACATTCAGTCTCATAACTATTAGGTTATTGTCTTTTTTGGTTCCCAGCCACATAACCAGCGATTTTTCGTACAATTTACCGTTGGTTTTTATCATATAACCATATAATAAGTCACCTAAAAGAGGACCATAAGCCATGACCAGAAGTGGAAAATTAAAAGGACCAATGCGAAGAAATGTTCACCCTGGAATTATCCTTTCTGAAGCAATGTACGTTAAAGAGATAGAAGCACCGCCTGAAAAGAGAATCTTAGTTTTGCAATAGATTTGAACTATAAATTCATGGACTTATTTCACAGATCAGCAAAAAACATTAGAAAAACTAATGACAAAACGGTCTACCTGGATTTATAATGGGAATAAAATGCTTAAGCAATGAAATATATGAATAACTTGATGCCGACAATGCAGCAAGATATCCATATCTTGACGTTTCAAGTAGGGGTTTAGTAACCTGAGGAAATTGTTATATCAAAGATGAATATTATCAGATTCTAGATAACAATACAAATGGTGGTGAAACAAGAAAAACCCCACAAGTGTACCTCTGGGCCATTAGCAAGGGAATGCACAAGAATGTCAATTGTGCCAAAATCTTGTTTGATACATTCAGCAACTTCCTGCAGAGAATACATGAACGAGTATATAAAAAAATAGTACACTTGGCCCAAATTTTAAGGTAAAATTTGCCAAACGTACGATTGTTAAAAAATCCAAATTACAACACCTTAACAGTCCAATTTGCAGACCCAGCATAACGCTTGTTGGCTTTCACCTGATACCACAAAAAGGTATAACTCAGAATGTTTCCATACCATTTTGAATATGAAATCAGAAAATGAGACCATGTACATCTTCGGGAACATCATCAGGAGTGTCATAAACTGCATCAAGCGGGTACACTTTTTTTATTTCCATCAGTGAGCCATCTGGCAAGCTGAATTATGGTATATAAAAACAGTGACTCAGTAAAAAACAAAATAGAAACTAACAGTGAAGAACAGTATGGTCTGCCCCTTACACTCTTGATTCATCAAATTTTCCCCGTCGCAGACTGCTCTCAAAGATATTTAGAGCCTAAATAAACAATTAAATACATGAATTTTTTTAGTAGTCTATAGTGAGCAACTGAATACTTTAACAATATGAAAAGGTGTATAAATACGTACTGGAACCCATGTACCAACAAGAATTTCAGCACCTGCAGCTGCAAGAGACTTTGCTATTGCCCATCCATAGCCATTATCATCAGCTACACCAGCAATAAATGCCCTCTTTCCTGCAGATAAGATTTAACTATGCCATTGTAAGCCAACTAGTTAACAAATTACAAAATTCTTAACTACAAGAAAAAAATTCAAGGGCAAATCAACAGGAATCTGAAATCCAACTCCAGTTTTATTAGATAAATATAGATAAGATCTTCAGAAAGAAAAACAACAATGGTATACAAACATGCACTTAAAACTGTAAGAGGACTACTTATGTTCATTTATTTTCTATACCGACAAGATACATATTCTTTTGACAGAAAAATGAAAAACACTCTAACAATCTTCGCAAATCAACAGTTCTTTTGAACTAATCCAGATTGTATAAACAAACTTAAACACAATAATGTGGAAAGAAGATAAAGAAGGCAACAATAAATACACAAAGACAATCTTTACAGAATCATAAAAGATAAGGTTCCAAAAGTAGACATGTATAAAAACCTCTTAAGTCAATGGCAAGCCCAGGTAAGTGTTCCTTATCAATTGCACTGGACATTGCCCGAGTAAGCATCCGTTGAGATTTTAATGGAACTGTATTTAATCCCTGGGAGGATAGTTTTGTTGCGGAGAACAAGCACAAACTTTTAAGCTCTGTTGCAGATCTTCCTCTATTTTCGAAAGCGAGGCGTGAGGTGTTGGACTGGAAAAGTTTACGAGATGCAGAAACACAGAGGTTAGCCGCAGCAAATTGCAGGTTTGGAGCAGCAGTAGCAGCCATTATGAGATGCCTAATTTAATTTCACCAGGGTAAATAACAATCTGCAAGATGAGATAGCAACGTAGAACAGAAGATGAGTTGGAAAAATCTCTAACATCAATCTAGATTCTAGAAATAATAATGCAATCTCCTACAAAAAATAAAGGTTTGTTCTCCATTAAAGAGGACCTGCTAATTGCTAAACAATCTTTCAAATATATATAATTCGCTTCAGTTTCTAGCCTTTTGTTGTTTGGATATTATGTACAGCAAGCGTTGTTCGGATAATTATTATTAATTCAACAGTCAAAACTCCAGCAACAGCAATAATGCTAGCTAATATGTGATTCCCAATAATAAAACTCAACCCTTTTAACATTTACCGCCACTCAAAGAATGGAGTGTGGAAACAGCCTTTGCTCTTACTCTAAATGAAACTAAAAAGTGTTTTTTCCTTTCACGCCAGCAATCAAATCCCGCATCCTGCACCTCCTTACAAATTCTTAAGCCCAAGCCATAAAAAATGCTGAAAATGCAGATTTCTCAACGTAGTAGATAATATTATAAATTGCTGTAACAAGCACCCCTGATGTTGAAAAAAATGTATAAAAACTTGCTACAATTTTTGATAATATACTCAAGAAAATGGGGAAATGCTTGGGATCAAGTACATAGGAAACCCAAAACAACGAAAATCTCGATTTTGAACCAAAGAAACAGGAAAATTCTGTCTATGCTCCGCTAATGCATATACATTGTAAAATAGGATTTGAAAATGATTAGCAGGAAACTTACTTGGATCAAGAAGACGGAAGAGAGCGTGAGAGTTCAGGTTCTTTTGTAGCGGTGATGCATATATATGTGCGGTGAGATGAAATCGTAAAGAGGGTTTCGATGTAAACGAAGCAAATGGCGAGTGTGAGGCCGTTGAGACAAGCTGGAAAGTACCGCAGTTGTGAGTCAGAAAGTGGGGTAACTCGCCACCTCTGAATTTAATTTCCCGTGGGCTTATACTTATGAGCTCTCTTGGGCTATTTACTTCATTGTCCTTTCTTCCAAAACCCAATCCATTCTCAATTGATGTTCAGTTTTCTTTTGGACTGTTTTGAGTCATAGATCAGACTTCCATATTTATAAAATACACAAAGATCTGATATTTACCAAATCAGATCAAAACAAACCAAACTAGTAAATTTCAATCCAAAAGAAAACATCTCAATGGTCATATTTTTTTCAAAAGTTGCCCACTCGAATTTACCTATCCTAGTGGTGATAAAATGTTATTGCAATAGCAGTTTTCTCATGATAGAGCAATTTGCAAAATTTCTAACCAGTTTTCAAAAAAAAATTGGACTGCAATTTTATTGATTATGATCCGAAATATTTTTTGTGTGGAAATTACCCGTACAGTCTCGTTTTAGGTGTCACATTTCATTTATGTCTCGTAAGTATTTTTCTTTCATTCCTAGACTTTCATCTTTTCAATTTAACTATTTTATTTCAAAAATAATCTCATCCTAAATTAAAACCTACGCAGTACATCCCTTTGCTAATCGACGATGAAGTTCTACGGTGACCCCGATGAATTATTCTACAGCGATGGAGACATGAAGATCACGTTGTCCAAGCCACTCGACCAAATTCCAGGCCCAACTCAAAGCCATCATCGGCGACGAGAAGTTTCAATCGCCAACTCTGCACCGCCTTCAAGGTCCCGAGCATGCAAGGTTGATTTTCCGGTGAGGTTGATGTTAGATCTAGCGGAGAGCCGCGCTAAGAGGAATTCATTGCAAGTGTACAGGGTCGCCAAGTGATTGTGCGCCTCGGTGTGTATGTCAATCCTTGCATTTATCTTCCTTTTTTAAAATTTCAACTCATTTTTCTCACACCACTACATATATTCAACATACGTTTAATTGAAGCTATCAGATGCCAGAACTTGGCGTGTCAATTAGATTTATCCCTGTAACTCTACCTATTAATGCTAAATCCAATTGCTGTGTAGGTTTTCTATGTAATGGTACCATGTGAAGTATCAATTACTATAACTGAATATTTGAGTCACTAATTAACTTCTACAAGATGTGTACTCTTGAAAAAATTGAATTGAAAGGTAAAATTCAGAAAGCTAACAATATATGATTGATCACTTTATTATGTAAATATCTCAACTTTGAAGTGGAAATTGTCCAAATGCTCCCTATTACATGTGCCTCTTTGCTAGTCTCAGTACTTTGACTGGATCCACAATGTAATAGTTTTCCCAATTCATTATGAGATCTCGAGATGTGCAGAATTTTAGAAAAGAGAGGGAGATGTTACATGTGAAAAAGCTAGTCAATTAAGCTTCTGAACTGCAATATAACGATGATGACATTTTTTTCTGAAATTTCACAACTTAGCTTCCTTTATTATTTTAAATTGTTTGTAGATCTTACGGGTTAGGAAGCTATAGGCTAAGTGATGTAACATAATGACTTGACATATGTTGTTTCAATTTACCTCTAGATCTTGACATCAAAGTAATGATATTTCACTCTCAAACTAACTATCGAATATGAAAGAATGGCCATAGTTTTCCAATTCTGTATGCATGCTCTTCATGAAAGGCTTTAATTTATATAATTTCTTGTCTAGAAATAGGATATCAGGTCCTTTATACCATGTTTAGATGGTGAATAAATGTTAAAACTCTTTTATTTATCCATTTGTTGAGTTTAGAGATAATTGTGATTCTCTTATAAAAGTTGCATCTGGAAAATAGCAAGCTTGAGACTTCCTGGTCTGGAAACCGATGTAATTGACCTTGATTGGATGGATTTAGCTAGGATGTGCTGAAATAAAAGCTGCTGGAGACATTTATGGTTCATGCATTCTGCAACTCTGCTTATACGAAGTACTACGTATGCTTTTAAGCTATAAAACTGTCTGCAAGGTGGTTGGGTTTGGATACATCCCTCATTCCTTCATTTCAATGGGAGTGCTAAATTTTTAAACAAACGCTATATATAAGGTGATTTTGACAAAGTTATGTGGTCGCTGACTGCAGCACTTGAACTGTAATGACAGGAGCTCTTGAACTATAATGACTACTGCTTCCTCAATCAAAAGCTTGTATAAGAATATCATGTCTAGAAGTATTGATAATTGCTAATCTGTTTAAATACTTCATTTTTTATCAACATGTCTGTTCTTCATGTAAATTGGAATATGGAATGGTGCATCGCAAGGACTTTCTTTAGGTTACTTGTAAATGTATATTAGAAAATGAATTTGATTGTACTGTCTCATTTATTTTGTAATGATATTTGTAATTCTAATCAACAATATGGACAAAAAATGTGTATATTGTATGTTGCTGTTTTTTCTTTTTGTTTCTCTGTTTTATTGTGTTGGTTTTTGTTACATCTTGTTTCTTTTTGTTGCATATTGTTACTTTATGTTGATATTGATCAATGCCCGTTTTTTTTCTTAATTTTGTATTCATGTTTCCGAGTTTTTACCTATTTTGGTACATAGACACCCTATACATGTGTGTGTAGTGACAAAATTGCATATAATAAAATCACAAGAAACAAAACTAAACAATAAGAAACAAAATATAAACATTAAGAAACAAAATATGAAAATTCATCAACAAAAAGAAATTAAAAATTAATATAAATTTTAAGAACTTGTTGTTGCACTTTGTTGCTTATTGTTGTTTATAGTTGAATTTGATTTTAGTTGTTTATTTAGGTTCTTGCTTATATATCTTTGCTACTTCTTAAGAATCAAAAAATCAAAAATTATATATTTATTGTGATAGTTTCATATGTTATCTTTTGTTGCTTTTGGTTGCATTATATGTGTTTCTTTTTGTTGCATTTTGTTGCTTATTGTTGTTTATAGTTGAATTTGATTTTAGTTGTTTATTTAGGTTCTTGCCCATATATCTTTGCTACTTTGTTGGAATCAAAAAATCATTTATAGATATGTAATCACCTAAAATGATAAATTTCGATTTATGAATATCAACAATAAAACTTGAAGAAACAATAAAAAACAGATATTTGAAATTTGCAACAAAAATAAACATACAGAAACACAAAGAAACAACATGGAACAAAAAATAACAACAAAATGATAATAAGAATTAAACTTTGTAGCTCCTTAGTCCTTACAAATTTATTAAAAATCATACTTTGTAATAATTTTAGCTTTTTTACGTTTTTACTATTTTAGATTTTTTTACACTTGGCATTCGAGTTTGGAATTATTACCTTTTCTAAAAAATTTAAAATTACATAATGCAAGTATTCACTTTTTTAATTTTTTTATTTTTTTATTGTTACGTTTCATTTTATTTTAATTTTTCACGTTCTTGTGTTCTTTTTTTAATGATTTTAAGTTTAATCTAATTTTCGGATTTTTTTAGATTTTTTTCTATTTTAATTTTATTTTATAAAATTTATTTGGATTTTTTGAAGATTTTCATATTTTTAATTTTTTTAGATTATTTTAAATTTGTATATTATATATTTTTTGCGTATTTATTTTTACTTATTTCCCCTTTTTGTTTTCATTAGTGATATATAAATTTTCATTTTTAATTTTCTTTTTATATAAATTAAGGAGTATATGTTTTTAAAAAATACATTTTAAAAATTATATTATCCAACAGCTTTTCGAATTTTTCATTTTTATTTTCAATATTTTAATTTTTTAATTTTTCTATTTCTATATTTTTTTTTCTGATATATTTTAAAAAATTAATTTCTTTTTGATTTTTTAATTTTATTTACAAGTTTTCAACTTCAAATTTATATAGTGTGTTGTTTTACTTTTATTATTTTCGTTTTCTAGTATTTTATTTTTTGCTAGTAATTTTCAAATTCTTTATATTTTTTTATTTGTACATCATTTTCTATTAGAAGCAAGAATTGAGTAATTATTAGAGTTTATATTGATTTATGGAAAAGAATAGACCGTGGATAGTTGGAGGGGAATCTCACGTGGCTTCTTAGGAGTACGGATCCGGTCAGCTAGGAGTTTTGTATACAAAGTCTATTTGTGAAAAGAAAATCACGGTTAGTCCAGTTTTGAAAAATGTTTTCAAAAGTTAAAAAATGATATTATTTTCACTTTTAAGCTTACTTATGAAAATTTCCCTTTTTTTAAAAAATGATGGACCAAACTCGCGAGACAAAACGAGTCATCTTAATATGACCAGGCCACCAGGGGAAAGCATATGAGGGCAATTAGGACATGAGCATATACATATTCTAGTTGGCCATGTTGAGGTAAAGAAAAAATCACTTCATTGAATACATTCCTCCTATTTTGATATTTTCTTTTGTAAACTTAAATTTGTTTGAAGTTTTTCCTACATGGGCTATTTTGTAACGATGATATTGCATCCGTCCTATTTTATCTGTTTTACTTTCCTTTTTGGGTTGTCATAAAATAAATGTCATAGTTTTCTAATTTGGGAAGAAATGTGTGAGCCACAACATTTTACCTCATTATATTCAAATATCAACTACAATTTTTACTTTTTCAATCAAGTTATTAATAATTGTCTTGCACCAAAACAAGACATAAAATGAGATGAATGTAATACTCTGTATAAGTTTATGTCGGTGATAATGATGCTAGTGTTCATAATGAATTCGGATGTTGACAACGTTAGTAACAAAAATATTTTATAATTTAGGTGGGTTATAAAATATTCTTATAATGCCTTATTATATTTCATACTCCATATTTATAGCAATGTTTTCATAATAGACTTGACATTATTACAATACTAATGACAATAGCATATGTATTATAAAATGCATTCTTTGCAACATAAACATATTTTTTACTTATATCAAATATTATGATCAGCAACACTATAATTTAAACTTGAATATGAATTATATGATATGAAAACAGTGAATCGACTCCATCAATATAGTTTTTTTGCATTCTAACATCTTCAATAAAATCCATTCAATATATTTTTTACATTTCACATTACTAAAGCGTTAATTAAATTATTATAAGAAATGATTTTCTTTGATTCCCTTTTCTGAATAATAATGAAACTAAAAAATTGCTCAATACTCCTTCTGTTCTCCAATAGATGGCCTTATAGGGTTTGACACAAGATTTAAGAGAAAAATAATAGGGGTAGTGTAAAAGGTGTAGTGGGTTGGGTTTAAATGAAAAAGTAGGAAATAGAATGAAAAAGTAGGAAAGAAAATGAGGGTATATAGTATAGGTTGTTGAAGGAAATTCTATGTTGTGTGCTATCGTTTAGATAAAATATGTATTAGAGGCTTTCTATGTAAATTATGTATTATGGGCCTATTGGACAGTATTTGTAAACCCTATTCTATCCCTATTTATAGGGGCTTTTGGTAATGAAACTTGAAAAACATTCTCCCTACAACACATTATCAGCACGAAAGCTCCAAACCTTAAAACTTTTCTCCTCTCTTCTCAAGATTTTTTCAGCCGCAGGTTTAGTCTGCCTACATTCAGCATCCACGCGGCCAAGCCTCACTCGGTCATTCCCTCCGATGATCCTGCTGGGACGCCATCAGCCTAACGCGATCATCTTCCGGCTCACCTCAGTTGCCGACCTCAGCTTCATCAACCACCTCGGCTCCGAAAAATTAGATATGTCTATCTGTTCAGAACGAAGGTTGTGCCGCCAACGACCGATTTTCCGCATCCTCCTTCAGAACTTCCCTGAAAGTGAAGCACAAGATGATGTATTTGCTAACGGTGTCCAAAACGGAGGTTGCCGCCTCCGTTCCACATGATCCAGATCGAAGCAAGTCTACCACGGCCATTTTGTCGGACAACGTACGAAGACAAATGAGGATATCCAACGTGCCATGCTTGTGCGACCGCCGCTGACCCAGACGGCTAGTTCCTCTCAGTACTCTGTCCTTGCACCTCGTTTCACTCATATCCGTCAGCCTCACCTTGATTTAGGTGAAAGCTAATGCCAAAATTTTTAATCAATCGATTTCCTTCTCTTTGATGCAAAAAACTATTTCAACCATATTTATGTTCGGTATATTTATTTTCTGTTTATACCTCTATTTCAGTATTTGTATATTTTTTTTATACTTCGTATATAATCAGCTGGCTTGATTTATTTGCCATAATTCATGCTCGGTATTTTTTTTTCAACTGAATGCAATTCTCTTCCTCGTGATAGGTTTATGCTCATATAAATTAAAAACCAATGATATATTCTTCTTTTTGTCATACATTTCGAAATTGGCATCCACTTGGGTATCTGAGAATATGATGTTATGATAATTGCTCGAATTTAATTGCAGATTTTTTTATTAGAATGGAGCACTTTATCACATTACAGATACAATTCCATATTTGTTTCTATATTCTTTTCATATGCTAACACTTGTTATAACTTATACGTACTACGTAATATGTATCGAATATGTCTTACTTCAAAACTATGATTTTTTTAGATCTAAATTGTATGTACCAAACAATACTTTTGATGTTGAAAATTTTGCTCATTTCTTCGAATATGTGTACTGTACAATTAGTACATTACATGACAAAGACATTCATCAATCACATTCAATTAGTATTGTAACTCACTCAATTATTCATGTGATAAAGAAATTTCACATAAAGAAATGTAACTTTTGATTTTACATTTTTATAAAACAAAAAATATCATGGATGTACTCATGAATTTATCATTTGCAAAGGTAAATCGCACATTTCAACTTGATTTTGTTAGTCCCTGTTTCTGTAACAGCAATGAATAACGATCTAACAACGAAGATTAAACGTAAGGATGAACACAGAATGAATCAACGTAAAACCCTCTTTGATAGACCGTGAACTCGTACAACACAAAAGTATGCGCGTAAGGCTATGAAGAATAAGTACGACGTTAACCTATTCTTAAACCCTCGGCTCCCTTTTTATAGGCGAGGTTTAGGTTAGGCGTACAAGGCTTTTAGCCTGTTTATATGGGCCTAACACTTGGCCCGATTGCTATCTAATTCATGCACTTATTAAATACAAGGATTAAATATAAAGCTAATCTATGACAAACTTGATTCACAATTAAATATCTCCTACAATCTCCCCCTTTGTGATCAAGTTCCATTCTCTTATTGCTTCTGAGACTTGAAGTAGTGCTTCCTCATACCATGTGCATGTTCATATTGCCTCAGCGTATTTCTCTTTTCGAGGCGATCGTCAATGGCCTTTAAAATTGTCTCTACTGTAGAGTGTTCCTTTTGAACATAAGACGATGCCTCTTGAAGATTTTCCTCTAGATCTGCCTTCATCTTTAGAATCTGTTCTTTGATTATCTTCAGTGTTCCGTCACAGTACTTCTCAATTTCACTGACTACCATCAGACGTTTTTCGTTCTTGTGGTTCAGATAGGTGACTGCTGGCGGTGTGAAGAAGATGTGGTAGGCTGGGAAGTCTTCAAGTTCTGGACCATACAGTCTTGGCTTTGTCAGATTTGTCTTTTTCAGATTGCACTCAATAGCCATCTGTAGGTCATGTGAAGAGTGTACTCGGATCTGTCTAAGCATGAATCTCTTGATAGCTGCGAGACCTTCGCTGTATATTATGCTCTGCCTGACTGGAAGGTATTTGTAGGCCATGAACATTTGATAGATGTCGTCCGGTTTCAGCATGATGAAATCGTTCTCTTGGCAAGTAAATTCGCTCCCATCAGTGCGTTGAAGTCTGTAAATGTAGAATGTTACTCCATGATAATCTTCAGCCTTCACTTGTAGAATTTGATGAATCGGGAGAATATTCGACTTCAGATCTTGTTCCATCAGTTCTCTCTGTGTACCGGTTGACCTTTGTAGCAGCATATGCAGATGACCTCCAGCCTGCTTTCTTTTTAAATGAGTAAGGCCTCTTAGCTTCAGTTCATTCAGCGGTTTGACTCTGTCTGGTCTACGCCAGATATGCTCTCTGATTTCTTCTTGGAAGGGGGCTTTGATGCGAACGTTATCCCAGGGTTTCTCTGTCTTGGGAAGTCTTCCCGCTGATTGTCTAACTACGGATTCAAGAGTTTTCTGGGATTCCTTGTAGTTCTCCCCTTCCTTGCGTTCATCGTCCTCGAGCCTTATGATATCTTCAGAGCATCTGTTAATTAGCTCTCGTAGCCACCAATTTCTTTGCATGTCCTCTTGTTCAGCCTCATTCCTAAGATCATCCCATTCTGTCCATTGTCTCGGCCATTTGTCATATATCACCGCCTCCTCCAGTGCATCATGGATGTCTTTGCCTGGGGAAATATATGGAACTCTTTATTGTTTTTGAGGCGGTGAGTGTTCCTGAGTAGCACTACCGGGTCCCTTGGATTGCCCGTTGACATCAACTTAGAACTAGGTTCCAACTGATGGCCTGATGCAGAAGATGCACCACTGGTAACATTATCAGGACTTCCATCCCCTCCTCGGTTGGTATCTCTGGGAGATACGCCTCGGGATGTTATTTCTAGCTCGACCATGCTAGATAAGTTGGCTGTGGGTGGTGGCTGTTGGTTTGTCGAGGTTTCGGGTTGGATGGGCTGTGGAGTTTGGCTTGGTAGGGCAGTTTGCTCAAGTGATCGAGGTCGCTTGTTCTCCCCCTCATGAGGATCCGAATCATCGGGGTCCTCATGGGAACGTTTGCGACCACGAGGACTCTCCTTGCAAGTGGTCTTGGTTTCTGGTGAAGAAAGAAGGGCTTCAAGTATGGCTTGCTGATGAAGAGTAAGTTTGTCTTTAGGGGTGTTAAGGAGGTTGTTCAGCAAAGCCGACGCTAGTGTGTCAAAGGATAGTGAGGAGAGATCGATGGAGGGTGTGGTCGGGTGTGGGGAGAATACAGGTTCTGTATCCTGGGTTCCCCGAGAAAGAGAAGGAATGGAAATTTGGTTTATGGATTGGTGGGATAGAGGGGTGGAGGATACGGGTTGTGTATGGGAGATGAACGGTTCAGGTGAAGGTTGGGGTGGGGTTTGTTCAGACCGAACCGCTTGGGTGGTCCTAAATTCCTGTGCTAGAGCGGTCATTGCATCTTGCACCCATGGTTTAATGGTGGAATCTAGGAAGCGATTGAGTAGAACGTTTACATCTTCAAAGGTAGGGTGACCAGTTACGGGGGTTGTAACTGTTGACACAGCATCAGTGAAGATTGCTGATGTGTGGCCTGCATTCAATGATGGAATCATTGTGGGCGTAGCAGGGCTTCCAACCGTCATAGCTTGCGCTCTGGTTGTTGCGTTCAGGGTGTGTGCACCTGTATGTGCAGTGAATAGTGTAGGTGTCCTAGAAAATGAAGAAAATGTTGGGAATGTGACACCTAGACTCGATGTGTGAGAAGAAGGGGTTTTGACCTCGGGAGATAGGTCAATTGTACGCTCAACTGATTCAGAAGGAACCAGCGAGGGGGTGGAGTCCCGTTCTTTTGAAACAATAGCCTGTTGAGAGGCTATCGAGTGGCTGGGAGAGGGCTGTGCTTGCGCAGTTGAGCCAGATGCTGCGACTTCTACCCGGGAACCGAAAAGATCGGCTCCTGTGCTTAAGGATTCAGCTCGGCTTATCTGGATAAAAGTATCGCAGCCAGCAAAGATATGCTCGTCTGCCTTATCAATCAGGCTCTTTCTGGCTCGGGGCTGGGGCTTTCCCTTGGCAGTCTTATCGTTCTTGACTTTGGCGCTTTTCTCCCGGATGACGACTTCATCGGAGTTCTTGATTGTATGAGCTGCCTCGTCATAGTCGTCCTTTGAGCAGTTTGTCTCGCTGGAAACAACTATCGGCTTAGCTTTTTCTTTGATTGTGAAGACTTTGGGTCTGCCAGCGATTATTGGTGCTGCGTTTTCAGCAGTAATTCTTTTCTTCTTTGGAGATTCGACTGGCAGCTTCCCTTTTCTGATCAGGGCATATGTGAGCTCCACGTCATCACTGTCATTGTCATCGTCGTCATCATCCGAGCCAGATTCCCCGCTCTCTGTGCCCACACTCTCGGAAGCCTCATCGTCAGTGTTTGTTTGGGCTTCACTTGACGATTCATTGGCTGTTTCCTCAGCGTCTTTTTCGGTGCCCTCAGCCGCCTTACTCGTCTCTAGAGAGTCGTCAGACTTTCCTTCATTGGGCGATCCGGCCACTGGTTTCTGTGGCTTTTGGGCTCTCTTTGGACCCTTACCAACATTCGGCTTTGCCCCTGGGGTAGGTCCAACTGGGTTTTGCTGAACCATAGGGACAGTTTTCTCTGTGGCTTCCTTGTATTGCTGGACTGCTGGATTTGAAGATTTGACTAGCTTGAGCAGAAATCCAGGTATCTTCATACCAAAGGTAGGATTCTTGTCTGCTTTAAAATACTGTAGCTTCGGTGCTGTGAAGTGAGGATCCGTACTGCGTTTTGGTATTGAGGCGTGCTCTGCCATGCAGTCGTGTATGATCAACCTGAGCCATCTTGCGTACGGAATGGTACCTGGCCTATTTTTCTCCTTTGCTTTGACGAGGTCCATGAGCTCTGAGAAGAAGAGCTGTGCCATGTCGTAGTTTTTGTTGAATGCAATGCCGTGAAAGATTAGCAGGATCTGCTTGTTGCACTTGTCAAACCCGGCATGCTTTGGCGACAAACATTTATTCACCAGTCCGAATAGACTCTTCCACGGGTGATGGAGATAGGCTCCATTGAAGTTTGACAGTTGTGGCAGTAGTGAGGTGTAGCCGAGAGATGCCACGTCTTTGAGCAGATCAGGGATGGATGGCAGTGCATCATATGTGTCGTGAACTGGCAGCGCTAGTGTAGATTGCAGTGTTGATGGCGTCAGGATTACGCGCATGCCATTCAGTTTAGTCTTGATTTTGGAGCGATCCTTCGCCGATTCAGTATGCATGTGGCCCCAAAATTGTTGTAGGTATATCTCTGGCACTGGTTTGGCGTTGTGAAGTGCAGGCCAGAGATAGTGACCTTTCATTATGGCCGGAATGATCGGGTTCTGGCACTTGAAGACGGTGAGGTCTAGCTGGAAGTTGTTGTCCAGCACCTTGATCCACTTGCCCTTAGGGTAGATGGTGTCGTCAATCTGTGTTTGAGTGTTTCCTGCCATTTTAAACTGTAGAAGCAGGGGTCAGCACATGAAGTTCAACTGTTTGATTTGATTGAAAGAGTTTGAATTGAAGTTGTCAGATAAGTTTATGCAGATGGAGTTTTGAAAAAAAAATTGCTAAGTCCAAATCTCGAGATCTGAATCTCGAGTTCATGATTTCGAGATCCAAA